GGGTCACACGCCTGTGTATGTTATTTTTGGCATTTTCTATTTGGGCTCTGAGGTCAGACGCCCTCCTTTTCTCAAACAATATTTGTTGATACAATTAATGAGTTTTAAAATAATGTAACATGTTATGGAATTCACTTTTCTTTTATGTCAATCCTACATGATTGTCAAAGTATCATTGCTCCTAGAACATGGTTTATATAACAATTTCTTCAGAAATCCTATGTAAGGGAAACTGTCTCGTGCAAGGCTACTTAGCGTGTTTCTCTCCATAGGTCTGGCCCGATTTTCCTGGTGTTGTTGTGAATGAATCTCTAGACTGGGACAGTCAAGTGGAGGTAAAAGGGTCTTTGTCAATTTGGGTGGAGTCAGGGTTTCTAGGTAGGGGCAGCCGTTCCTGGGATTCTGGACATGCCTGTACCGTGGACATGGGCTTGACAAGGGAGAAACCCTTAGGGCGTGTGTCTTGGGTGTCAGTCTGTGCCCATTACCTTATATGGAGTAATACTTTACTGCCCACTGGGATGTAGATAGGTATTATTATCCTTGGGATTCAAGACCGGAGAGCCTAAATTATTTTTCCCCAGTTTTACGTGACAAGAGTGGTGATTTCAATTCCAAGGCTGTCAGATTCCGAAGGCCCAGGAAATTTCCACTGGGCGGTAACTCCTGGAAGTGCTGTCTTTTCCCTGAACTGGCATACCATCTGTTGTTGCCATGGTTTTCCCTTTCTAACAGTCTTCAACCCTGGAAGACTGACTAGGTCTTTTTCTTTGTATATTTTTCTTTTTTTTCCCCATGAACAGGTTTCTCCATCTTCACACTTACAAGTCCTCCTCTGAGCCCAATTCTTCCTTGGATTTCTCAACTTTGCTTTTACCTCTCAGTCTCCAACCTTATTGTAAAACCTGCTCTCTCCTGTGGACAGTTTGTTGCTTATAATGGATCCAGGTAGCCCATGCTTCTGGACCTGAATTTTTTTCCAGATTCACTAAGTATTTCTTGCTTGAATGAATACATGGCTCCTTACAGGTCTAGGAAGCCTACAGCCCCATCCTCTGGCCAAGATGTATGTCTCCTGAACTGAGGCAGCCTGTGTGCTTTACTATCGATTTTTGTGACAGTTCCCACAGACAGGGTTGTCAGGGTGGGGCTGAGGACTTCCTGGAGAGCAAGTACCTTGCCCTACCTCTTGAGCTGTTCTTCAATAATGGTTATTCTTTCTGGGTAGGAATTGTAGCAGGGCATGTGTAGCCTATGTGACCCCCACAGGAGAGCTGAGGAGACAAGGAAGAGGCCTCTTTTCTAGGACATGTGCCAGGAATTGAAGGGACAAAGAAGCTGTCCTGTGCAGTCAGCAATGTGGTATATGTTGTGGAGTCTAGATACTCTCTCAGGATCAAGTGTTATTCAGAGAAATATCCATATTGTGGGAACAAATCCCAGCAGCTGTAAATTCAGTTAGCAGCCACTCAGAAGCCCAGGGGCGAAGACCTCTTTTGGGGGTTCTTTCTACATAATGAAAGATTGTAGCCCACGGAGAGAGGTACAGGAGAAACACTCATCACCAGGAACGTGACTGGCAAGAGTTAGGGCAAAAATTCATGCCTTATCCAGATAAGCTGGTTTTCAGGGCAAGTGGTGAGTCCTAGAGGGAAAGACATATATTAGATACAACCCCAAAATCTGGAGCCTGAGGCTGGGACCTCGGACAGCTCCAACAGGGTAGTGAGAGCAGAAGGTACTGCAAGCCTGTGATGCCTACTTCTCTGTTGTCAGTCTCTGACTTCCTGGATCCCAGAGCCAGTTGGCAGCTATTGCTCTTTTCAATTTAAAATGAGATACATTTGGGACCAGGTTGTTTGGGTATAGGACTCCATGTCTTTATTTTCTGTTGGTAAATTCAGTAAAACAATACAAAGAAAACAGAAGCTGGGGCAGGTTTTGAAGATTGACAAGAATGAGTCAGACTCAGTTCAAAGCTGTTTTCCTTTTATTTAGTACTGAACAAGTATCTATCTATGTCTATCTATCTATCTCTCTGTCTAACTTCTATCTCTATCTAACTATCATCTCTATGTATATGTGTGTATATGTATATTTATGTATCTATTATCTATCTGTTTATCTAACATCTTTATGTATATGACTCTACCATCTGTCTTTCTAGTCTATTATCTATCTGCCTATCTTTCTATATTTACCTATCTATCCATACACCCACTCTATCTAATCTATCTATATATCAATCAATCTATCCATCCACCCACTCTAATCTATTTATCTATCATCTATCTCTCTCTATACCTCCATTCTATTTACCTATTTATCTAACTGCCTATATCTATCTATCTTTCTATCTATCTATCTAACATCTTTTTGTATCCCTCTCTATTTTCTGTCTCCATCTATCATCTGTCTCTATCAATTTATCCCCTCACCCTATCCATCTGTCTATCCACTGTATCGTCTGTCTGTCTGTCTGTCTGTCTGTCTGTCTGTCTATCTATCTATCTATCTATCTATCTATCTATCTATCTGTCTGTCTGTCTGTCTGTCTGTCTGTCTGTCTGTCTGTCTATCTATCTATCTATCTATCTATCTATCTATCTATCTATCTATCTATCTATCGTATCTATCCATTTACCTACTATATCCACTCTTTATCTGTCTATCTATCTATCATCTATCAGATAAGTATTCAAAGGAGAAGACCTAGCTTTCTGTCCTCTCATCACTTCTCACAGTGAATAACTTGAAGCTTAAGGGTCCAAGCAGCCCAGTGGACACAGGAACCTGCCCAGCCAGAGAATTCTGGGTCACTGGCTTCCTGACTTTTATCACAGTTCAGCAGCCAGTAGGGGCAACACTGCCACCTTGAGGCCATTTGGAAATCTGAGGGCAGTGTTGGTTATCACAGGGATACCAGGTGGCCTTTAATGGGCAGTAGGCAGGGATGCCGATAGCTCTGATTGCAGGGAATGCTCCACAAAAAATCTTATGCCTCAAATGCCAGTTGGGTTTCTGATAAGAAACATTCATTAGGGGATTCACATAATCTTTTATGTAGCTCATAAGAGATTATTGGTAGATAGAATAATTGTAACTGTTAGGTTGGTGCACAGGTAATATTTGCCATTACTTTGAATTCCAAAACCGCAATTACCTTTGCATCAATCTAATATTTATATTATTAACAGTGAAACCCACTTGACGAGGCTGGTGAGGATGAAGCCACTGATGTCCAGGCCTGGCTTCGCTGAGCATAAAACAGCCAAGAAGCCTATGAAAAGCAGATTACTGAGTCCAAAGCTCCAGTGGTTTAATTCAATAAGTCTGTGATGGGATCTATGAATTGCGATTTGTAGCATGTGATGTGCTACAAGAAGACTGCTAGGTGATCCTGAGGCCCAGTGTGTGGGTGGGTACATCACTGTTTGAAGACTGGAAAAAGTGAAGGCAGAAGCCACAAGGCAAGACTTGAATATGGGCAGGCAAAGCCAGCACCTTGGAGAATGGCAGAGCATTTTTATGAAGTTGGTAGGGGTCATCTGAGCAGTCCTTAGCGAAGTTCATACGTCATGGCTGGCCAGTTTCCCCACGTGTACCCCATATGGGATACAATTCTGACTCAGATGTGGTTGATACTCTCTTTATTCTAATTCTCCATTCCCCACCCATCCCATTGTTTCTAACCCTGCCTGATCTGGAGCTCTTTGTTTCTGGTGAAAAGTTCTGTTTCTTGGGTTTCCTGGTTTCTACCTCCATTTCCTCAAAAAGGCATCCCTGGCAAGCCCACTTCTCTCAAGATTCTGTGTGATGTGAGCCGCTGTCTTCTCACATCCTTGACAGCCAGATCCATGCAGGCTGATCTGTTTCTGTTTTCTTGTGTTCCTTCTTTTGTCCTTTATCTAGACATCTGGATTCCTACCTGCCTTTTATCTGTGGAGTATAAGAACTGGAGCTCCCCTAGACCAAGTCCTCTTTCTGTTGCCTCCCCCACTCTCCTCACAAGCATTCTTTAGTTCTTTAACTCTTACAGTGGTGTGATTAGCATAGAGGAGACTATTTACTGAGACATACAAAGGACCATAATGTTCCATAACAAACAACATGAGTATATTAAAATGTGTGGATATTTATTTGCTGCTTCTAAGTGGTGTGATCCCCCTAGTAAACACTGAGTATTTTATGCAGGTTCTAAGCTGAACACTGTGGGCAATATAAATATCACTCAGAAGAATATAAAACAAACTTCCTACTCTCAAAAATCTGCAATGTAGATGAAAAGTTGTATCTTGAATCTGTCTTTCAGATAAGTGAAGACACTGCTTTTATTATTTGAGGGAAGAGGTAAATAAGGGGAAGTCGATACATTCTCTTTAAGTCCTCTCAATTTATGCTCCAACATCTGTAGTTGTCCTGTGATTCTGAAACTGTAGAAAACACTGAGGTGTACTGGTCGAATATCCTGAAATGTAATCTTATTCCTTCCTCGCCTCTCTCAGTGGGAATGATATAGGAGGGACTCCCTGGATGTTTCTTCCTAACCTATTACCACGCATCTCATGTCTGCAGTCTCTCCCTGGTTTTGTGTTTGAGGAGTGCTTAGGAAATGGCAGGACTGACGTTGAGGGTTGGGCGTCGAATGCATGAGGTCACTAGTTCAGGTCATTGATTGTCGTCAACCACGTGTATATGAAGAGAAGAGTTTTTAGATGTTTTCCAAATGCTGGGAAGGTGTGCAAATTGCACTAATTTCTCTTCTCATTCTACATTTCTCTAATTAGTTAATAACATTATTTCGGCCCTGTTCAGGCCGTCTGTCACCATGCAGTTCAGGTATCTGTGTGAGTTGTGTTCTCAGTAAGTGCCTGTTTGCTGTCTTATATGTTTGTGTGGGACACATAAATTATATTTATATTTTACAGCTATATCGAGCTTATGTAGCCTTCCCAGACTTTTTCCGTAATTCAACTGCCAAGTGGTGGAAGAGGGAAATAGAAGAAGTGTACAACAATCCACAGAATCCAGAGAGGAGCTTGAAGTTTGATGGCCTGTGGATTGTAAGTGTGTGTATGTGTGTGTGTGTGTGTACCTGTGGTACTTGTCTATCTTTGTGTGCCTAAGTATAGGTACCACTGACGTTCAGTCAAGAGGATAGTCATTGTCCAAGGAAGACTTTGGACATATCAGATACTTCCTCCTCTCAGGAGGGGAACAGCCCTGATAGACCTTGTACTGGACCTTATGCTCCTACTGTAAAACCTGTCAGGCCGGACCAGGTGTGGTGGCTCACGCCTGTAATCCCAGTAATTTGGGAGGCTGAGGTGGGCGGATCACCTGAGATTGGGAGTTTGAGACCAGCCTGACCAACATGGAGAAACCCTGTCTCTACTAAAAATACAAAATTAGTTAGGTGTGGTGGGGCATGCCTATAATCCCAGCTACTTGGGAGGCTGAGGCAGGAGAATTGCTTGAACGTAGGAGGCAGAGGTTGTGGTGAGTCAAGATCATACACGTGCACTCAAGCCTGGGAAACAAGTGAAACGCCGTCTCAAAAAATGGAAAAAAAAAAATTCCTAGGAAGCAATTTACTAGGAATTTCTTAGAAATTTGATTGCCTCACAGCCACCTGGGAAGAGATTTATTTCTTAAAACCTCTAGCCAGTCATTCTGTAGGAGTGAATTAATCTTTTCCAGCCAGTTCTCACCAGGATTTGATGAAGTTCCCAGGGCCTGCATCTACAGGGATTACTGGATGTTGAACAATGTATTCACTGCTTCCTTGGCTCAGAATTGGCCGGACATAATTATCTTAAAAAGTGATGTATGTTTGTGTTTGGCATTTCTAGGATATGAATGAACCATCAAGCTTCGTGAATGGGGCAGTTTCTCCAGGCTGCAGGGACGCCTCTCTGAACCGCCCTCCCTACATGCCATGTAAGAAGCCTTGGCCTCCTTGACTGGCAGAACTAGGACTAGAAAGATGGCCACTGGAGGAGCCCAGAGGCCAGGGGTGTGCCTGCGCAGCTCAGGGCACATCCTCATGGCTGCTGTGGTTTACTGGGGACCAAAGACAAAAGCTCTTCACATGCTTTACCCAGCCAGCCACGTGCAAGTGACTAGACTCATTGAATAAATTTCTTGAAATTTGTCCAGAAAGCACTTAGCAGTGCTCATGCCACAAAGGATCCTCACAGCTAGGTTTCTTAGTTTTTTGGCTTGTGTGAATTCCATCACAGGAATTTGTGTCATCAATGGGTAGAAATTACTGGCTTCCCCTTGTCATGGAGCGGTGGACTTCGGAGTTATACTTGGTTTCATATCTTGGCTCCAGAAATTTTTCTCTCTAGGAGTTTTGTGACTTTTCACAGATTATGCAATATTTCCAAATCTCAGTTTGCTAAACTGTGGAAGACAGATAATGATGTCTTCTTTATAGAATTATGGGCATAATTGGTAAGTCAAAAGCCTAAATCAGTGCCTGTCACGTAGTATTTGACAGCTGTATGTTCTTCCTTACACCTCCGCTTTCTTCAGTGAACTTGATGTTGGAAACACTGCAGGTGCCATAGCAGCTCAGAGCTGGGGGCTCTGTGCTCATGTCTCTGGGAAGATGGAGAGTGACACAGGCAGGACTCAAGTTAGTCTTAAGATCCAATGTCTAATCCCTTGAGGAGAGGTCAGGGATAAACAGAATCAGGGCTGGATTTCACCTCACCAGTTCTTCCTCCTCAGATTTGGAGTCCAGGGACAGGGGCCTGAGCAGCAAGACCCTGTGCATGGAGAGTCAGCAGATCCTCCCAGACGGCTCCCCAGTGCAGCACTACAACGTGCACAACCTGTACGGGTGGTCCCAGACCAGAGCCACATACGAGTGAGTCTCTGCCTTCTCCAGCTGTCACAACCCGGAGGGATTGCCAGGGACTGACATAGCCACCCTAGTTTTCCTTTCATTCCCATTCTAAGGGTTAAGAAGATTCTCATGACAACTGGGTAATGATTCTTATTAAACAAATGCTGATTGACGTGGAGCCAGGCCCTCTGATGAGAAGGAGGGTGACAGATTTAAATAAGACATGGTCCCACCAGTGAAAAACTTAATGATCGTGGTGGGAACGAGACACATGGAGACACCATAACGATCACACAGGGCATCCGGTGGTGCAATAGCTTTAGTTACAGGAGGTGAAGATAACACAGAGACTGGGCATCTCTCCCCTTTGTTTCAAAAGTGAATCATATTTTGAGATTTTTATTTTGGCCGTTCTCGGTGGAGGGTAACTGGTATTCTACGAAATTAATGCAGTCCCCTTTGCAAGCTCCACGAATGGTATGAATTCTTCTAAGGACAGTCTTATGATCTTCACTGTGTTCCTCCTCAAATATAGAAAACTACATATTGAGGAAATCAATAGCAAGATTTAGTAAAACCTTACTATTTTTGGCCACTCCAGTGAGTTTGCTACAGTGAAGTTCTTTGTAAAGCACTGTGAGAACACGTGACTTGTTATCTCCATTATTTGGGATCAGTGGGGCCCCCATTGCAGCTCAGATTCCCATGTTCCCTCCAATCACGCAGCAAACATTAACTAGGCTCAAGGGCTCTGGGAGCAGAAGCTCTCTGGCCTTTGCTCCCTGACCGTGCCCTCAGCTCACCTCCTGTTGCCCTCCAACCAGAGCCATGCAGGAGGTGACGGGACAGCGAGGGGTCGTCATCAGCCGCTCCACATTTCCCTCTTCTGGCCGCTGGGCAGGTCATTGGCTGGGAGACAACACGGCCGCGTGGGATCAGCTGAAGAAATCTATCATTGGTGAGTGGCTCCTTCCCAGGGCCTGTGGTGGTAGGGCAGGGAGTTGGGATCCTTGGGGAAGAGGTGAGGAGGCGGGTGGTGAGAGCCTGGTGTGACACTGCTGTGCTTCTCATTGCAGGCATGATGGAGTTCAGCCTCTTCGGCATATCCTATGTGAGTGTCCTTGGGATCCTCCTGAGCACCAAGAAGGTGGGGACATCTTTCAGAAAACATCATCAGGCTTGTTTTGTTTCCTCTTGTTTTAGACAGGAGCAGATATCTGTGGGTACTTTCAAGATGCTGAATATGAGATGTGTGTTCGCTGGATGCAGCTAGGGGCCTTTTACCCCTTCTCAAGAAACCACAACACCATTGGGACCAGGGTAGGACACTGGCTTCTGCCTCCAGTGTTGTGTGTCACTAGAAATACAATCTCCATTTCCGAGCTAAAATTAACGCAGTTTGTATTTCTTGGGATATGTTTTAAAAAATTGTTATTTTTTTTTTGAGGGGGGCGTGGTGACAGGTACTTACTCTTTGTCCAGACTGAATCGTGCCGTGTCCCAACCATGGCTGACTGCAGCCTCGACCTCTGGGTCTAAAGCGATTGTCCCACCTCAGCCATCTGAGTAGCTGGGACTACAGGCACATACCAACGTGCCCACCTAATTTTTGCATTTTTTGTAGAGGTGGGATCTTGCCATATTTCCCAAGCTAGTGTCTGACTCCTGGGCTCAAGTGATCCACTTGACTCAGCCTCCGAAAGTGTTGGGATTACAGGCATGACCCACTGCACCCTTACAAATTGTTACGACCTGGTGTCTCAATGAACCATATCCCTCAGTGTTCTTCAGATTATTTTTTTTTCCTGTATTTTAGGCAAAATTGTACCAAAAAGAATGTCTTACAGTGAGATTTTATCAGCTGTCCTAGGGGAGCGTCTATGATTCTTTCCAGTCTGTTAAGAGTATTCCCTGGGCCTCATGTATAGTTTTCTTTTGTTTAGCTGTGAGTGATCTTCAGTTGGAATATGCTTTCAGTGACCTTCTTCAATCCCCTAGAAATTCTAGGGCGAGCTCCCAACACTGTTCTCTTTCTCCTTTAGAGACAAGACCCTGTGTCCTGGGATGCTGCTTTTGTGAATATTTCCAGAAATGTCCTGCAGACCAGATACACCCTGTTGCCATATCTGTATACCTTGATGTATAAGGCCCACACGGAGGGCGTCACTGTTGTGCGGCCTCTGCTTCATGAGTGAGTGTCCAGCAGGGATCCTGATGACTAATGAATGACTTATTGCATTGTATATGGAGGGAGTTGATATACACAGTTCTTCCAAATGAAAGACCTGCTTGCCTTTTGACATGAACTCCTGAGGCGCAGACCATACTTTATTACTCTCTTTAGCACAGTGTTATACGTACCATAGGTCATGAAAAAAAGGCTATTTATTGAATGTACAAAATTGAAATGATGCCATTGAGCACAGAATAGTTTCATTCTCATTTGACTGTGCAAAGACCTATCTATCTTTTGTAGCAGTTTGGTTATATGGACCCAAGTCACAAAAGGAGGATTTCAGCTAGAGATATGAGGCAGGAGCGACATCCTTGCATTTAAAATGTGAAATGGTTAAGAAATGCAATAATAGTTTACAAGAGAGAACACATCTACATCCCAGCATTTCTGAAGTTTGAGGCACATCCCGTGGGGAGAGCAGAGGCTGGGTGCTCCTGATGAAGCTAGTCCTAGGGAAAAAGCAAGGAAGGCTCAGGGGCAGCTGGATTTCCAACTGGATCTGAACTTGAGGAGCTTCTTCAGAGTCTCGGGCTGGGGCTCTGTTGGGCTCTGTTGGGCACCTTCATTTCCCTTTGCAGGTTTGTGTCAGACCAGGTGACGTGGGACATAGACAGTCAGTTCCTGCTGGGCCCAGCCTTCCTGGTCAGCCCTGTCCTGGAGCGCGTGAGTATGGAGGCCTCCGATGGGGGGAGGATCTCAGCTTTGAGGCTTGGGGAAAAGGACGAGGAGAGAGGCCTGAGCTGGTGGGGGTCGTAAGACATGGTTTCTTATTCTCCCTGTGTCTCTTCCTCTCCTTCTGAGCTGAAGTCCATCACTTAGGTGTTGTGGGCCTCAGCTCCTTCATCTTTGAAATGAGCCTAACAATTCTGGTTCATAGGATGATCAAGAAGAAAACACCTCGTATATTCAATGTATATTCAATGACACAATCGTTTCTTCATTAACTAAAATAAGGAATAGAAGGTCACATGGGGGCAGTGTCGTAAAGAATTTATAAGAGTCCTCTAGCACTATTACAACTCTTCAGAAGGATTACTTGGCAATGTGTGTACTTGTATTGCTGCTGGCTACCCCTTCCCTTCCTGTGCAGGATTACCTCCCAGCAGTAAAAGCCATTTCTTTACTTCTATTGTTGATTAGGCTTCTGATTAAAATACCAGTTAATTGTACCTCCCCCAGATTTTTTTTTTTTTTTTTGTGACAGAGTCTCACTTTGTTGCCCAGGCTGGAGTGCAGTGGCGTGATCTTGGCTCGGTGTAACTTCCGCCACCCGGGTTCTAGTGATTCTCTTGCCTTAGCCTCTCGAGTAGCTGGGACTACAGGCACATGCCACCATGCCTGGCTAATATTTTTTTTGTATTATTAATAGAGAGAGGGTTTCACTATATTAGCCAGGGTGGTCTCGATATCCTGACCTCATGATCCGCCCCCCTTGACCTCCCAAAGAGCGGGCCTGGCCCCAAAATCTTACTGTACCCACAAAATTTTCTTCTGCCCAAACACAACCTCAGTTGTTTGTCTCTTTAAGAGGAAATGGGGTAAGTCTATGTTTATAAGCAACAGTGATTTATTTTTTCCCGAATTCCTGGATACCAAAGTGCTTTATGAAGCCACTTGTTTTGGGTAGACAAATCTCGCGTTTAAAAAAGAAAACGGGAAGAAGGTTACTCCAGTCGCTAACCTCTCCGGACGTGAGGCAGATGGGTCCGAAGCCATCACAATTATTTCACCTCTTTCCTAACCAGTTTGGTTTCTCTGTCCTGGAAAATGGTGCCCACTGCCTCACCTTGTTTGTGTTTCATTTTAGAATGCCAGAAATGTCACTGCATATTTCCCTAGAGCCCGCTGGTACGATTACTACACGGTAAGTTTTTCCGAATGTTTATACAACATGGGAATATGGTAGAGAGAACAAAGACTTTACATCTGATTGACTTTAGGTCAGATGCTGGCTCTGTAACTCACCTGCTGTGTGTTCTTGGAGAAGCCACTTTAACCCTTGTAATCTCAGTTTTCTCTCCTCCGAGTGGGGTAAGACGACTTCACTCACAGAACCCTTGTGAAGTAACACATAAAGCATCTCACTCAGGGTCTGGATTTTTGTGGGTGTTCTCTTTGTGTTAGTTTTTAATATTTCCTTATATCACTGCTCTTTACCATGTTGTGTAAAGGCAGGTGCTAGCCAACATTGGAGATTGTGTTGCAAACTATAGTTTTTGTTTTTAATGTTTGTATCTTTGCCTGCTATAAGTTTGTAAGTATAGAGGCCGTTTTGTCTCTTTTTATTAAATATCTCCTTCCATTGCATAGATGCTCAAAGAAGGGTGATGCACATAATTACCTAAGGCCCACAAGTGATTAGACAATGTGCAAAACACACACAGAGGTGTGGGACCCAACCCTTGTGAGTCTAAGCAGTGCAAGCACATTTAGAAATGAGGCAGCAGTGAAGAGCTCCTTGCCGCATAGTTTCATTGCTAGTATGATTCCCAAAGACTCAGCTGGGAAGCCAGGGTCTTCCAGGGCAGCTCTGGGGTGGTGGTCTCTTGCTGGGACCCTGAGAAGTCAGACCCTGATTCTTGGGGTATAATCAAAGGAGGTATTTCCTTCGTTTCTAACCAGGCTTCTTCTTCTGACTTTCTGAGGAGAACATAGTTGAGGGCTGGCAATACAGCAAAGGGGTACAAGCAGGGAAACAAGAAGCAGAGCATGTGCTGGCCCCTTTCATCCAAGGGGATTGCAGTGAGATTAGGTGAAAACTGGAGAAGGATGTACAATTTTGTTCCTTCTCTTCTCAGTCCATTGGAACCCAAGTCCTCGTCACTACCCCAGGCTCCCCTTCCTGATCCTAGTCTGGATCTGCCCTTAGGGTGGTAACATGTTAAGGCTCTGCTATGTGCTTCCCAGCCAGATCTTCCCTAGGAAGAGTGGCCAGCTTTCTTTAAGTGAGACTGGCCTTTGTCCTGAGTGTGCATGTTGAGTCTCCCATTTAGTAACAGAAGATATCTTTGATTGAAGAGGGAAAGACAAAAGAAATCATGAGCAAGCTGTTTAGAAATAGATGAAATTAGGTCAGGTGCAGTGGTTCATACCTGTAATCGCAGCACTTTGGGAGGCCGAAATGGGCAGATCGCAAGATCAGGAGATTGAGACCATCCTAGCTAACATGGTGAAAGCCCGTCTCTACGAAAAATACAAAAAATTAGCTGGGTGTGGTGGCATGCACCTGTAGTCCCAGCTACTCAGGAGGCTGAGACAGGACAATCATTTGAACCTGGGAGGCGAAGGTTGCAGTGAGCTGAGATTGTGCCACTGCCCAGCGTGGGTGATGGAACGCGACTTTGTCTCGAAAAAAAAAAAAAAAAGAAATGAAATTTTTCATGTTTAAATGAAGATGAAACTCATAGTTAGAATTAATGAAGAAGTGTCACCTTGATTAATCTTCCCAAGTTTGAGTACCTATTACTTGTTCTAGAGCATAAGCTGGCAAACTATGGCCCACAGTCAAATCTGGTTGTTAGCTGATTTGCAAATAATGTTTTATTGGAACACAGCCATGCATTTTTGTTTGCTTGTTGTCAACAATAAATGCTTCTTACCTGTAAAGTAGCAGCTCTGAAATGAGAGGATTTTGCCAACCAGGGCACATTTGGCAATGCCTGGAGATATTTTTTGTTGGCACAACAGGGTGGGGGTGAGGAGGCGATGCTGCTGACAACTGAGGATTCTGCTAAATTTCTAAAGGCACAGGATAGCCCCATCACCAGAGAATTGTATGGCCCTAAATCTCAATCATGCTGAGATTGAAAAGCCCTGCTCTAGTTGAGAACATGTGGGATGGAAGGATGGTCCCTTAGGTTAGGTTTTTGATTCAGGTGAGAGAGTAACACCTCTTCCTGTCACACATCAGGCAAATGTAGTTTGTACGGTGGAAGCAAAGGCAAGAGACCCTAACAAGATATGATAGCAGCCTTGTCAGATTTCATGCAGCAGTGGGTGAATGCAGAATAGGTAATAGGAGGTATGCTGCGAACGGCGATGAGCAGGCATAAGTTCAGAGGGGAGGTTAAGATGTCTGGCAGGATGCATCGTTCAGGGAGGGGCCTGTCCTCTCCTTCATCATCTCTTACCTTCTTCTGCCCACAGGGTGTGGATATTGATGCAAGAGGAGAGTGGAAGACCTTGCCAGCCCCTCTTGACCACATTAATCTTCATGTCCGTGGGGGCTACATCCTGCCCTGGCAAGAGCCTGCACTGAACACCCACTTAAGGTGAATGACAGGACTCAGGTTTTCCTTTACATGTCAGTTAGCTCAACAATGTGTAATGAAGTCCACCAAAACGTAAGCATCACTCTCAAGCCCACATGCAGTTTTACTCAACACTTGTTTTTCTTTGTTTGCTTGTTTGTATGTTGATCTTTTTCAGACTCTATACTCTTTGACTAATTATTAACAACTCATTGAAGTCTAAGGGAGTGAGATGATAGGTCTAAGAATGTCATTTTTTAATCTCACATCTGAGATGGAAGTCAAAACGGCAACCACAGTTCACAACAGCTTTTCAGAAGCTGTTGTTTTAGTACCGTATCCAATGGATTTTGGAAGACTGTAATTCATGTCCTTCCTTAAACCCGTTGAATTTCTTTTCAAAACATGCTAACAGCCAGGTGGTCAGCCTCCTTGGTTTGCAAAGACTGTTACAATTTTAGTACCAGAAGTCTCCCCTCTTGGGATGCTTCTCAATTGTGGGCAAACCAGGTCAGTCGATGCCTCTATCTGCCGTGGCCTCTGTGTCCATCCGTGTTTCTTTACTCTTGACTCACTTGTTCTCATTTCTAGAGAGTTGGGATCCACTCGCCACCCTCTTAGAATCTCAACTTCCTCTTTCTTTTCTCCAGCTAAAAGATTTCTTTCTTGTGATTCAAAAGTTGATTCAAAAATTATCTCCTGCAAACCTCAAAACTCTATGTCACTGAATTTTCCTTTATATGTAATTGATTCCAAAATTATAGATTCCATCTGTACTAAAGAGATGCACATTTATACCTTCATGGCTTTAATAGACATTTATACCTACTTGTCTTTAATAGACTAGGAGTTCTTTGGAAGCCAGAAACCTGTCTTTCCTTTTGAACCTCTCTTACTGCTTTAATTTTTCAAATTATAGACTTTTTATGGTACTAATGGAAAATATTCCTAAATCTAATACCAGTTGGCTGTCTTTTTCTAACTGTTCACCTTCAAGCTGTTCTGTACACTGATACCAAACTGATTTTTCCAAAATGAAAATCTCAACTGGTGGCTCCAAAGTCTTTCATTAATAAGGTATTCAAAACCAATCACAACCTGGTTCCAGGTTACCTTAACAGTTCTTATCTCCTGCCACACCTTCATGTACATACAGACCAGATATGCCAAAAAACTGGCTATTTCCCAAACATACCTATGCATTTTGCTGCGTTTGGGATTTTGAATTTATCCTTTCCAACATCTTTGCCTGGTGTATTCTTAATGACCCAAATGAAACTTTACATTTTAGCAGCAAGAAATCTTTCCCTAATCTTTCAGCAGAGAAAGCACTGCCACTTCCAGGTTTCTGGTCATTTGTTTTATATATATATAGATATATATATATATATATATATATTTTATATATATATAGATATATATATATATCTCCTTAGATGATTTTGTCTTTCTTCTTTAATAGTGTTAGCATTTCAATAGTAGTTGTATACTCTGTGCCGGAAAATTGTATTATCAGAAGTGTTTAAGGCAATCTAAATCTATTGTTAGTTCTTTTTTGCTGACTTTCCTTTATGTTGAGTTATTACTTTGTGTGCCTGCTGATTTTTTGTTTCATACTGTGATAATCTTAACCATCTAAATGTGGGTGTCATTCCTCCAGAGATGATTTGCCTTCTCCTCTGTTTGCAAGCTAAGAATTGCTTCCAGCTGGCATTACATTAGCTTCCTTCAAGGATCCCGGCTTCATGTGGGAATCAGAGGTTCACATTCTCTACCTTGGATTGCTAGGCCTAGTAGCCCAATTTTAACCTTGCTATGGGAATTTGCCGCACGGAGATCTAGGTTTTGCTTACCAAGCACTCTTTAGTTTTAGCTCAGTGTTTTGTTATCCTGTTACTGTTTTGGTCTCTTGAATATATTCCTTACTTTCTTGCAAATTCAACAACAGGAATTTGTGTTGTAATTTATCTAGGATCAGGGAATATTTTACTGGGTAAGTCTCCAGAAGAATATCCAGACCACCATATTTCTGGAACTGTGGTTCTGGACTCCTAGAATATCCTAACTTTTGTGTTGTGTTCACTGTCTGCCTTCATTGTTTAGTGAATGTGCCTAATTTTTCCTATAACATTTAAGGCCATTCATGTCAGGAGTTCTGACTTATTAACTTTTGTATCTCATTGACTTCCTAGGAATGACTGCTACTCAATACATGAATATTTAATGAAGGCAGATGATTTTGTTGATAATGGAGACTAACTTTCTTGCATTGTGAAAGGCTGAACTGTGAAATAATGCGATGGAGAATGTGAGTCCAGTGACAGGTAGAGGAGGAACAGGAAGAATCAGGAAACTGAGAGGTTGCCTAGATAGTGACAGAATGAGGAGAGATTCCAAATAAAAATTGCTCTCTCTCCTCCTCTTCCTCTCTGTCCATCTACTCTACCATGTCTTTGAGTAATGTGTTGTGTTTCCTATTCTAAATTCTGAAGTAGATCATTGGAATGATTTGTTTTTCTTTAAAAACAAACTAATAATAAATAATCAGATACATTACCATTTAATAGATGGACATTATTGTATGTTATTGCTTTCTGAGTATAAATGGTCCTTAGGCAGGTGAAAATGTATCTTCCTCACAGCACTGGACACTTCTCCTGAGGGCATCATTGCTAAAGTGATCTGACTGAACCAGTTATTGCCTAAGATTTCTTTCTCTTCTCATACTCTGTATTCCAAATAGTAGTTGCAGAAGCAGCTTTTATTTGAGCTATTGCAGTGACTCTGGTGCTTAAATTCTTGCCTCCAACATAGATGTTATTGCTAATGTTTGGGGTATGGCTATCTCCTGTGACACTGTTGATATTACAGAAAAATGTGTCTGTCGATTTTGTGTTTGTACCTCAAGAAACAGAACCATCTGCTGCTAGTGTCTTTTCCAGTTATGAAATCTGATGGAAATATTCTCAGCTCAGTTAACAAAATTCTCTGACTCCTGTCTTTGTCTCTTGAATCTTGTTCCCCACAGTCGAAAGAACCCTCTTGGTCTTATCATTGCCCTAGATGAGAACAAAGAAGCAAAAGGAGAACTTTTCTGGGATGATGGGCAAACGAAGGGTGAGCGCTGTTACGATCATGTTGCTGTTTCGAAACCCGCACCTGTGACTTAGGGTCCTTCCCTCCTGCTGGTCATTGAGCTGTGGGAGAAATCTCAGCAGGCACAGCAGCAAGAGTCACTGAAGTATTTTGTTTCTGGTCGCACCATTCAGGGATAGTGGTAGATGAACTGCAGATGAAAGAAATATACGTTTGTATCTCTGACAATTCTCCCATTAGCCAGTGATATCTATAATAGGCTCTCATTTTATTGTCAGTGGGTGCTTAGATGAAAAGGTTTCAAGACTGTTCCCTAATTCAATGTTAACGTCTTCCTCCCAAAATTCTTATGAGCAAATGTTGGCGATATAAAAATCATGCCCCTGCCAGTGAGGCAGTGAGAATATACTGTTCCAGTGTGTACTCATCTAGCCATACATTTTAGCCTGTTGGTGGCTCCCATATACTAACAATTCTTGTGCTTCAAGTTTAGGAAATAGATTCCCTTGAAGCATATTCCTTGGAAGCACTTGGAAGGGAATCTTTGCAATGTTGCAGTAGGAAAGAGAAGGAAAAACAATGGGTTGGCCTTGGAGACGCTTGTCCATCTAATCCAATATGTAGATTCAAAATTTATTTATTTATTTAGTTGTAAAATATTTAGTTGGCAAATAAAGATTGAATATAGTTAAGGTGGACAATGTGAGAATTTAATATACGTAGGCATAGTATAGTCATTACTACAGCTATTTTAATGAACACATCCATCACCACCAATGCTGCAGACTGGATCCCCAGAACTTATTCATCTACTAACTGAACGTTTGTACCCTTGACCATCATCTCCCCATTTTCCATGGCCGCAGGCTCTCAGAACAACTGTTGTAGGCTCTGCTTCTAAGAGATGAACTTTTTTAGATTCCACATAGAAGTGAGAGCATGCAGTATTTGACTTTCTGTCTCTGGCTTATTTCACTTGGTATAATGTCCTCCAGAGTCATTCATACTGTTGCAAATGGCAGAATGTTCTACTTTTTATGTCTGAAAAATATTCTACTGTATATATGTCCCAGAATATGTTTATCTATGCGTCCACCAATAGACACTTAGGTTGTTTTCTTATCTTGGCTACTGTGAGGAAAGAAATTAAAAACTTAAATGTAAGGGCTAAAATTGTAAAGCTCCTAGAAGAAAACATAGAAAAAACCTCCTTGACGTAGTCTCGGCAGTGACTTTTTGGATATGATACCAAAAGCAAAGGCAAAATGCCAAAAAGGCAACAAGCATGACTACATCAAACTAAAAGGCTCCTGCACAGCAACAGAAACAATCAACAAAGTGAAAAGGCAAACTACAGAATGGATAAAAATCTTTGCAAACCATGTATCTCAGAAGAGATTAATATAAAAATTATGGAACTCATGCAACTGCAAAAGATCCAATGACCCAATTACAAACTGGGTGAAGGACCTGAACAGATGTTTTCCCAAGGAAGACATACAAGTGGCTAACTGGTATGTGAAAAGATGCTCGACGTCAGGAAATGACAGAAATTGCAAATCAAAAATCACAGTGAGAGATCCCCTCACACCTGTTAGCATGGAAATTGTAAAAAAGATAAGAGATAATTGCTGGCAAGGGTGTGGAGAAAATGGAATTTTTTACACTGTTGATGGGAGTGTAAATTGTTACAACTGTTATGCAAAATAGTATGGAAGTTTCTCAAAAAATTAAAAACAGATCTTCCCTGCAATCCCATGAAATCCCGCTTCTGGGTGTATATCCAGAGGACAGGAAACCAGTATCTTTAAGGGATATACGCACTCCTCCCATATTCATTACGGCATTATTTGCAACAGCCAAGATACGGAAACATTCTAAGTGTACATTGATGAATGAATACAATGGAATATTATTCATCCATAAGGAAACGGAAATACTGCCATTTGTGACATCAGGATGTAACTGAAAAGAGTGGGGGTGTGAAATCTGTTCTTCTGTGGTGGGCAAGCCAGAATCTGACTTGACTTTCTCTCACTTGCAGATACTGTGGAAAATAAAGTGTATCTTTTATGTGAGTTTTCTGTCACTCAAGTGAGTAGCATATTTTTCTGAATCTTACGTGTGGGCTGGACTGACCATTGGCACATCTGTGCTTGTGTATATTGTATATGTGTGATTATATTTGTAACTTTATATGCATTATTGGCTATAGGCGAGCACATTTCTATTTATGATTTCATCAGAGTTTTCAAAAGAAGGCATTAATACAGCAAATAGCGTTTGTAAGTACAGTGTAAAAATATCTGTGTGTTTTTATGATTGTTTCAAATTAGAGGATTATCAAAATAATTTTGTACTTCTTGAGCACACAGTAGTAGAGAAAGCAGAGAGGCATCCAGGGCAGTGGGGGGTATCCGGTCTGCAATGGAATATTTGAGTGACTTGAGAATCTGTGTATTGCAGGCATACCTTTATGCATAATTGGACTTAATTGTTTTGCAGAACCGCTTGGAGGTGAATATTTCACAATCAACCTACAAGGACCGCAATAATTTAGCCTTTAATGAGATTAAAATTCTTGGGACAGAGGAACCTAGCAATGTTACAGTGAAACACAATGGTGTCCCAAGTCAGACTTCTCCTACAGTCACTTATGATTCTAACCTGAAGGTAAAACCCCATTTTGTTGAGATGGTGTATTGAGAATTCTCCATAGTATCATGGTGTTCCTTTTTGCCAAAGTTGCATGGGTTCTTGAAGGAACAGAGCAACCTTGAGGCCTGTTTTGGGGAAGTGAGAAGACTGGGAATAAAATCAGGTGGCCAGAGCTAGAATGACTTGGGTGTTTTCTTCTTATTCACTTCTCTGCCTCTCAATGTTCTTCTCTCTCTAACTGATTTCACTTCCTTTTCCCTCAAATAGAATTATAATTACAATGAGGCACAAGAAGAGCAAAGTTAGGAAAGTGGGGAACAGCCTTACATTATTAGACTGTGAAAATTACATGACTGGAATAGCATAGATAAGATTCTGTTTTGGAAAAGAGGCTAGTTTGCATAGGAAACTTGTGGTCAGATTTTGGAGGGTGTTAGGTACCAACTTGATTTAATTGTCAAAAGGCCTCACATTGATCCTTGAATGAAGGCTGTGCTACTGTGTGTGAACATTGCTGGGAGTGGGAGTGGGTTTTGGGAACTAGTAGAACAGGGAAGTACAAGATGGTTTAGACTGGGAGGAGACTGGGAGAAGGATGATAATTTTAGAATGTGATTTTATTACTCCAGACAAGTGACAACTTTAACCTGGGAAGGGCTGTTTAAAGAAATGTCAAAGATAAGAAAAGTATGTAGAAAAATATTAAATATTTGAATGAATGGTAATCAAGGAAGGTTTCAAAATTGGAGTCTTTGGGGTTACAGAAAC